CTTCTTGGGTTTTTTCCCCCTTCTTTGACACTGTTTTTTTAAATTTCTGTACCTCCTGTCTTACATGTAAGTTTATCTGTTTAGGGGAGGGTAAGAGGAGCACAGAAATGATGAGACAAAGGGTGAACAAATGCAGCAGTGATACTCACTAGACTATGTTGAATATTAACTATACAACTTATGGGCAAGGAGGTTGGGAGGGAAAAACTGGGAGAAAATGAGGGAAGATGTGACACTGTTAAAAAAGAAATGTATTCATTACCTGACTTATGTAACAGTAATCCCTTTACAACAAGAATGGGCCCTAATCCTGGAATACTTCCTTCTCAAAGGATAAAGAGTCCTTATAACCTGTACCACTAGCCTTTTCTGTTTCAGGCTAAATGAGTGTTCTGCTTAAAAGCATCAGTGGCCCTTAATCATGAACCCCCAACAATCAGTGATTATAACAGAATCAGAACTCACGAGAATTAGAATCTTATACCTCTTGGTAAGTTGTCATTTTCCCTAAGCATTATTTCTTGAGGCCTTTATTTCTAAGAATATTTTGTCTTTGACTATAAAGTATGTTATCATCGCCAGATACTAGTGGCTCACACCTATAATCCTAGCTACTCTGGAAGCTGAGATCAAAGGATAGCCTGAGCAGAACAGTCAGTGAGACTCTTATCTCCAATTAATCATCACAAAGTTGGAAGTAGGCCAGGTGCTGTCCACCTGTAATCCTAGCTACTTAGGAAGCTGAGATCTGAGGCTTATGGTTCAAAGTCAGCCCAGATAGGGAAGTCCATACGACTCTTATCTTTAATTAACCACACAAAAGCTGTGGCTCAAATAGTAGACCACTAGCCTCGAGCAAAAAAAGCTCAAAAACAGTGCGCAGGCCCTGAATTCATGCCCCTCGATGGACAAAAAAACAGTTGGAAGTGGAAAAGTGACTCAGGGTAGAACACTAACCTATGACAGCGTCAATGTAAACTCCCACATTCAAACCGTACCTTCACTCTTAGGACTAAACTAATGCCAATAGTCTTTTTGGTCAACATCATGTCCCTTTGAGACAGATACTGACACCACCAGGTTTCTCTCTGTTGGTTAATACTTCGCTGTACACTATTACAGTTGTGCATAGATGTGAATTCTAGCCCAATTAGCTTAGGGGGAGTTGACCGAGCAGCAGGAAAGGTGAAAAGAGACAGACAATTTAAACATATTCAAGGTGATGTGAGGACAGGGTTCTAAAGAACAGAGTCTAGGGAACTTGAAACCTTGCAGGTGTAACTAGAGACAGGATTCAGGGTAAGATTTCCTCTTTGTTAATAGGTTGAGGCCTTCTTTCTCGGATTCTGTTCTTTTTAGTACCTGCCTCTTCAGAGTTCTTCCTTCTCTATTTGTTGTCGTGACTGCTCTTGTCCTGAGGTACTTCCATTACTATAGTCCTGAGCTATTAGTGAGGAAGTAAATTGCTGAACTTATCACTTATATCTCTGATTTCTGATTAAGTCCTAAGAAAGTTGTCTTCAGGCAATATGCAAATTCACTCATTTGGCTATGGCCATTCATTTCTATAGCCTTAACGACTTCCTCCTCCTCCTCCTTCTTCTTCTTCCTCTTCTTCTTTCTCCTCCTCCTCCTCCTTCTTCTTTTTTGTCAGTGGGGCCTGAACTCTGGGACTGGCTCTGTCTCTCAGCTCTTCAGCTCACAGTGAGCACTCTACCACTTGAGCCACAGCGCACTTCCAGCTTTTTCTGCTTATGTAGTACTAAGGAATCAAACCCAGGGCCTCATGCATGCAAGACAAGCTCTCTACCACTGAGCCCAAGCCTTAACTTCTTCTTTTTTTTTTTGTCGGTTGTGGAGCTTGAACTCTGGGCCTGGGCACTGTCCCTCAGCTTTTCAGCTCAAGGCGGGCGCTCTACCACTTGAGCTACAGTGCCACTTGTGGTTTTCTGGTGGTTTATTGGAGATAGGAGTCTCACTGGTCTTTCCTGCCCGGGCTGGCTTTGAACCACGATCCTCAGATCTCAGCCTCCTGAGTAGCTAGGATTACAGGCGTGAGCCACCAGTGCCTGGCCCAAGCCTTAACTTCTATAGAGACATTAGACATCTTAGTTGGAGATACCTAATTTTAACCACTTCATTTGAAGTGGTTAGAGTCTTAGATTGGAGGAGTGACCTAGGGAGGGATAGGCAGAGGTAGTTTGCTGTATCTACACAAAGGTCAACTCCTAGTGACACTGAGTAGACTTGACATTCTTAATGACCACTGTTATCTTCTCCAGTGACAAGAAGATACAGCAATCACTTACATGGAAGACCTGATGAAAAGGGCTATTTCTAATATGTACCATACTGAATGATGGCCTTCAGTCCTTAGGGGCCTAGGATAAAATGTCTGAGTTTCTAAGGAAGAATCCAGGGAAAACCTTTTAGATCCTCACTTCTTCACAAAAACTCAGAGAGGCAAAGAAAAAGGTATCAATGATCTCATCAGCAAACCCTCATTTTTGCACATGGAGAAGTTGAGGGAAAATCTCAGTGATTCAGTGATGAAAGGCTGCATGTCAGGATGGAGGGAGGCAAATGGGCTTACAAGGCAATGAACAGAACTTGTCCTTTCTCAGGAATGCTGGTCAACCTGGGGAATCATCAGTAAGAAAAAAAATCACGAAGCTGTGGGGAGAGGCTGTGGCTCACAATTATAATCCCATCTACTCAGGAGGCTAAGACTTGCAGGATCATAGTTCAAAGCCAGTGAAACTCCATCTTTAGCTAATGAGCAAAATGCTGGGCTAGACTTGTGGCCCAAGTTGCAAAGTATTAGCCTTGAGTTACAAAGCTTAGTATGTGAGTCTCTGAGTTCAAGTTCTGGTACAGCATAAACAAATACTTCCCAAATCATTAATAAAAAATAGAAAATAGACACACAAAGTTGGTTATTGTAGCAATGCTTATTTAAAGCCTAATTGTTCATAATAGAGAATCAGTCATGAATTCTAGTATACCTAATAATAGATATTATACAGATAATAGAGTAAAGCAGTCCTGCATTCATTTGTATGAAAAAGGTCCTGTATTTTTGGAGGAAATATATAATTTATATGATATAGTTTGATATTACATATGTTTTAGCTTATTTTTGTTGCCATAACAAAATACTGGAAGCTGCTACTTTAGCATTTTTTAATTGTTATTTATAAAGGTGATGTTCAGAGGGGTTACAGTTATGAAAGTCAGGTAATGAGTACCTTTCTTTTTGGACAATGTCACCCAGCCCCCTTGGTCTGAAGTTGGTATTTGGTTTTGTAGGTCCCTGGTGTTTGAACACTGGGCAAGGGCGCTGTGCCTGAGCTTTTTCTGTGATTAATTTGAGATAAGAGTCTCAGGGACTTTCTTGACCAGACTTGTTTCAAACTTTGATCCTTAGATCTCAGCCTCCTGAGTAGCTAGGATTACAAACATGAGCCATGGGCACCCACTAAAATAGTTTTTGTTTTTGAGAAAGAGGGTTCCCCCCCCCTTTCTGTCCAAATTTATAAAGCACTACAGAAAATTAATGAACTGTTGGTACCCTATACACATCAAGTGGCCTGGCTAGCACACAGCTTGGGCTATTGCCAACAGTGGAAGAAAGGCTGACTTTCCCAAGCCTGTAGGAAAAGTGTGCCTTCAATCATATTATACCTCATGTTCTAAGTATGAAAAATGTACTACAGCCCAGCACTAAAATGGCCCAGTGCTGACTTGTGTTTGGAGAAATATCTTTTGCTCTTTTGGACATCAGGCCTGATGGTACTCGCTGCTGATTGCACACACTTCCCCCTATTTGTTTGTGAATTCACAATTCTGAACGAGCTCCATCCACACAGTGGCCAACAAGAAGATAAGGATTAGTGATCTACAGAAGGATACCCTTATCAGAAATGATGAAGATGCCCTTGGCTGAGATACTTTCACAATCTTCATGACCCCAGAATCCTTACTATTCATAATAGCCAATAGCCAAGTGATAGAAATCAGCCTTGGTGACCCCCCCCCTAAATAAATTGTGGCCATTATACACTGTGGAGTATTACTCAGCTATAAAGATGAATGAAATTACACTTTGTGTAGGAAAATAGATGGAACTGGAGATGATTAAATTGTGTGAAATAAGCCAATCTGAAGAAGCCAAGTATGTTTTTGCTCATATGTGAAATCTATGTCTACCATGATTTTTTAAAATGCTACTTTCATTTATTTATTTATTTATTTTTACAAAGGGGAACTTTGTGTATATGGGGCAAGCTCAGTAGAAGTGGGGAGGAAAAATGGAGGGAGTAGAGTAGAATTAAGAGAACTAAATTCCATTACATATATATGCATGGAGGTAGCGCAAGGAATGTACCAGATGTTTTTTTTTAAGGGTATAAGGAGAGAGGGAGGCTAAGGAAATATAATAGAGAGGGTGAACTTGCCCAAAATACACTGGACATATCTGTGGAATTTTCGCATGAAACTCCCTACTCCTGAGCAATAATGTACTTGGGATCTAACAGTGAGGGCACATTTCTGGGTTCTGGGCCTCTTTATTTCTTGGGTGTGTTCCAGATGATGACAGACTTGAACTGTAGTGACACTATCACTTGCCACTTGAGTTTCTTAACGTTCTTCTGTCCCATCCTTGGAAACTGTGAACTCTGTGGGGTACACAAAGGTCAAGCTAAGACAGTGAGAGCAGAGCACACCTGCTTTGCTTTGTAGTCAGGAAGGCCACTGTCTTTGTACTAAGCATCTGGCATAGCAGCTGTGGCTTTCAAGTTGTGGGGCAGAGTGCTCAAGGTTGGCATTTCCTGAAGACATCTCATTATTAGCAGGTCCTACCTAGAACCTTCCAAGACAATAACTACCTGGACCAGGCAGGAAGAGCATGCTTGGGCTCCAGTTTTAGAGGATGAAAGTTTAAGGTTGGGCAGTCCCTTCTGGCAAGGAGCCCTCACCATAACCCAGCAGATGGTATCATGGCTGGAGCTTGTGAGGAGGAAGAGATCACATGGTAAGACAGGAAGACAGACTACTCGAGGGGCAAGTCTTGTTCTTTTGTTATGTGTGTGCCAATCCTGGGGCTTGAACTCAGGGCTTGGGTGCCATCCCAAAGCTTTTGGGCTCAAGCTTATCACTTTACTACTTAAGCCACAGTGCTACTTCCATTGTTCTTTCAATAATAATTTGCTTTTTTTTTTTTGTCAGTCATGGGGCTTGAACTCTGGGCCTGGGTGCTGTCTCTCAGCTCTTCAGCTCAAGGCTAGTGCTCTACCACTTGAGCCATAGCACCATTTCCCATTTTCTGGTGGTTTATTAGAGATAAGAGTCTCATGGACTTTCCTGCCTGGGCTGGCATTGAACAAGATCTTCAGCCTCCCGTGTAGCTAGGATTACAGGCCTAAGCCACCAGTGCTCAGCTCAATTTGCTTTCTTGAGAACTAATCAGGGTCCCATGAGAATTACATTAATTCTTTCTGAATGCTCATCCATTCCCCCATGTGACCTCATTGATTTCCTTCTACTAACCTCTATTTACTTCTTAAAGTTTCCCTACCTCTTTTGTTTATTGTTATTATTCTATTGTTATTATTTGGGAGACACAATCCTGCTAGCCCAGTTAGGATTTAAGTTCACTCTATAACCCAGGCTGGCCTTGAATTTACAATCCTCCTATCTCAGGTCCCCAAGTGCTGAGATTGCATGTATTTACACCATAGCTCCTCCACATACCTTACTATTGCCAAATCCTAGAACAACCTTCTAACACATGAACCTTTGGGAACACAAACTTAAACTATATATTCTCTCTCTCTCTATATATATATATACACACACACATTTATATAATTGGCATTAAGTAATGCTCAGGGAGATCTTGGCAAAGAGTTACTACAACATGTTCTTGGGAATTAGATTGTGGGTTTGTGGTGTTTTATTTTTAATTTTTTTATTGTGAAAATACTGTACAGAAGGGTTACAATTACATGGACAAGATAATGAGTACATTCCTTATCAAGCATTGTAGCCTCCTCCTTTTTTTCCCCTTCCCATCCCTTCCCATCCACCCCCTGCCCCCCTACCCAATCCTCCCCACTCCCCCTCCACCCCCCACCTAAGTTGTAAAGTACGTTTTCGACATAACGACTTGTACATCTCATTGTTGCAATGGGTCCACCTGTATCCCTATTTAAATGATTTGTTTTTCCCCTTCCCCTCCACAAATTATACCCACATCAAATACAGTTAAAGCAGGGGTTATACTGTGAGGGAGGGATATACAAAGCAACAAAGAAATAATCTTATAAATATGTTAGAAACAATCGCATGAAAGAAAAAAACATTTGAATACATATCTTAGGGTTCATTTCCCTAGGGTTTGTAGTGTTTTGTTTTGCTTTTACAGTTTTCTATAGTATTCTATATATTGCTAGAAATTTCTTCATTAGGTTTGCTACTATAATTAAAAAAACATATCACTGCCAGGTGTCAGTGGCTCACGCCTGTAATCCTAGCTACTCAGGAGGGTGAGATCTGAGGATTGTGGTTCAAAGCCAGCCTGGGCAGTACAGTCTGTGAGACTCTTATATCCAATAAACCACTAGAAAGCCAGAAGTGGTGCTGTGGTTCAAGTGGTAGAGCTCTAGCCTTGAGCTGAAAAGCTGAGGGACAGCGCCCAGGCCCAGAGTTCAGGCCCCATGACTAGACTCCCCCCCCCCACCACACAAATGTTAAAGCAAGAGTGTGAGACCATGACTTCAAGCCCTAGTACCTCCCTCCCCTCCCTCATCAATAAAATTAAAGTCATTTTGCTTTGCTTTATCTCACTTTGGGAGAATAGGACTCTTAAAGAGAAGAGCTGCTTTAGAAGAGGTCACACCTGTTGGTGCTGAAGTGACGTCAGAGCAAACATGATTATCTCCCCTGGAGACGTGGATAAGGACGCAAAATAGGATTCTTTTCCGTTTTCTACTAGATGTCCTGCCAGACAATTCAACGTTTTGAGTATGGGATAATCTCAATTATCCTCCTCTTTTTCACGCTTAGTGAGAATGGCTTCTTACCTGGCTGACTTCAATCACTACCACTTTTATTTAGCGAAGCCCTACTGGACTCCTCCAGATAAATATGAAACTGCAAATATTTATTTTCATATGTTTGCCAGCCATGGTGATAGTGGTTTTACTTGTAGAGGAGCCAGGAAGGCATTAAGGGCTGGAAAGTGCTATGAGTAGAAGACAGGATGTCAACTGGTGGAGAGTAAAACCCAGCCAGGGCCACGTTAGTGGTTATATTACCCAGACTTCCTTGTGGGTGAAGAACTAAGCTCTGGAGTCCAACCCTCCAATTGAATAGCTATTTAAATGTGTCAAGTCACTCAATTATCTCTATGACTATATATTACTATTTTTCATCTGTCATCTAAGCAATAATAACATTTTTTTTGGTTCCAGCCTAGGCCCTTGAACTCAGGGCCTAGGGCTTGAATTCAGGGCCTGTATAGTATCTCTCAGCTTTTATTTGCTCCAAGCTAGCAATCTACCACTTGAGCCACAGTTCTACTTCTAGTGTTTTTTTGGTGGTTAATTGCAGATAAGAGTCTCAAGGACTTTCCTGCCTGAGTTGGTTTCAAACCTTGATCTTCAGATCTCAGTTTCCTGAGTAGCTAGTTACAGGTGTGAGCCAATGTTGCCTGGCCTAAAAACGTGTTTTGTTCTTTTTAAATTTATTTTAAGTTTACTCTTTTAAAAAAGCACAATATATTAGTAGTGCTAAGGAGAGATTGACATTTGCTAAGGGAAAGTTTCTTTTAGAAAGCAATTTGACAATATCTGTCAACAATTTCAATCGATTTATGTTTGACCAGGCAATCATATTAAAGGATTCAATGAATTGCCAAACACCCATGCAAAGGAACTCTGTAGTTTGAAAACAAAATAAAACACAGTTCAATGTTGCACTGAATTCAATGATCTGGAGTACTCAGGTTGGGGCTGCAACCTATAAATCCGGCATGAGGCAGGGAACACATTAGCCCATAATAAGAAGGTATGTAGTGATTTCTCGTGTGCTTCAGGGATGATGTACAACTAGCCGTGACCAAAATCATGACCGTGACTGTAACCTTGACTATGTTGCACCTGTGGGAGGAGAGCCAGCAAGCTGCTGAGCAGGTGAAAGGGAAGACGCAATTACTACCCTTTGGTATCTTTTCACCTTTATATCCCATGCATATAATACATATTTTAAAACTTAATTAGCTCTAATAAGGGAAATGGAATATTTTCTTTCTTTCTTTTTTTTTTTTGGTCCGATCGTGGGGCCTGAACTCTGGGCCTGGGCGCTGTCCCTCAGCTCTTCAGCTCAAGGCTAGCGCTCTACCACTTGAGTCACAGCTCTACTTCCGGCTTTTTTTCCCTGCTTATGTGGTGCTGAGGAATCGAACCCAGGGCCTCATGCATGCAAGGCAAGGGAATATTTTCTTTCTGCTCTATACTTTGTACACTTCTTAATCTTTGCTACAGATTAATGCTTAAAGCATTAAAACCAGCTGGAAAGGTCTGGATCTGCAGCCATTTGAGCTTTTCTAACCCCGGGAAATGCCTTTGTCTTACGTAACCCTCAGTAGCAGCCTGCTGAGACTTGTCCCACATAAAATAACAATATATCCTGAAACGGATTTCTTTTCAATCTTTTCAATTTTCCTTCTTTCCTTTGTTCCTCCCTCCTTCTCCTCTCCTCTCCTCCCCTCCCCTTCCTTCCTTTCCCTTCTCTTCCCTTCCCTTCCTTTCCCTTCCCTTCCCTTCACTATACTGGGGCTTGAACTCAGGCCCAGGGTACTCTCCCTTAGCTTTTTCACTCAAGGCTAGTGCTCTACCACTTGAACCATAGCTCCACTTATGGCTTTTTGCTGGTTAACTGGATATAAGAATTTCTTGAACTGATCAGTCTGGGCTGGTTTTGAACTGGGGATCCTGAGATCTTATCCTTCTGATTAGCTAGCATTACAGGCATGAGCCACTGGAGCCTACTTGGAATTTCTTCCCAACAGATACATGGAAGGGTGATGGGAATTTCTCTTGGGCACATTCTTCCTCCAGTTCTTGGTGACTCGTCTGTTCTTCTGGGTTACTTTGATCCCTTGGGATTCCTGGAAAGACTATTGGCAAGGTTCTTGCTCAAGGATTTGGTCTAGTGCTGGGGCTAACAGATTCAGACATCCAGAGCCTTCACCCCCTGTACAATTCTGTCACATCTCATTTCTTCAAGGACCTTGACCTTGACCACAGCTGGTATATTTGTGCTGACCATGTGTTTGCCTCCCCAATTTATTTTCTCAGTCTTGATCCCATTCAATGTTCTACTCCCTTGGTATTTTCCCAGAGCCATCACCACCTTCAAACAATAAACTGTGTACATTTCCTATCTGTCTCCTTCACTGCCACGTACACTCCCACGAAGCCAGGAATGTTTCTCTATATTGTTGGCGGATGAACTTCAGGTAGCCACAATCATGCCTGGCTCATAGCAGGCACTTGGTAACATCAGCTAGTTAAGTGATAGATTAAACAAATGAATGCTTAGTAACCATGTGCCTGGGCCTTTCTTAAATGCCTAAGGAAAGAATCTCTCCCCAGACATCTCAGCCTTTCCTTTCCTGCCATCTCCCTTCCATAGTGAAACAGAGACCTCCATTTATTATGGTGACAATTGCAACTGTACTCACTTCTCAAAGGTCATGCTCTGCTAGGCACTGCCCTGTTGTTACCATATTCATCTTCATGACCCTTTGGGACTAAGCCATCAAAAATTGCTTATTTTACAAATGAAAGCCTCCAATTGATAAGTAAGTAGGTCAAGGCTTCTTAGCAATTGAGCAATATTCTCAGATTCTTTCTCACATATGTTTTTATACAGTTTATGCCTCTTCGTGATAAACCCAGGCCAGCAGTTACTCTTCTGAGATGACCTTTGCCTCTCCCCGCATCCAGTATTCTTTGTCTCAGGATGCTGGTTGATCTATTTCCCTAAAAATGAAATTTACTTTCCTAGTTTTAGAAGAATTTACAGAGCAAGGGAGGCTGGTTAACTGAGAATTGTGCTACATGTTAAATAAATGCCATGGTAGGTTTGTACAGCAGTTTTAGTCAGCAAACATTGGTAGAGTGCCTGCTGGACACCTGCCAATAGTCTGGCTCTGGATTCTCAGAAGACATGGGGATAGTTGTGTAAATCAGTCCGCCATGCCCCAACTCTACTTTAATTCAACTTTTCCCAGTCAAGGGCAGGTTTGGCTAAACTTTTCCCCCATTCTGAAAAGGAAGAGAGTGTCTAAAGCTCAAGAAACCCGCCCCCCCTCAATATTTTTGATGGTCAATACTCTTGGTTTTAGATGGGTGGATACAGAGGTGAGACGCAAATATAACCTAGTACAGGAGAAAAATCCCCTAAGATGTCCTTTAGCAGGGAAGGCATTATGTAATTCCTTTAGAAGTAACTTCACCTTCTTAATTATGGATGCCTGGGGCTACAATTACAGATACATAGCATTTTCCAAGTCTAAAGTTCTTCCTGCTTCCTTCTCTCCTCTGAAGTCCTGCTGGCAAACTTCCCTGAGCTGCCGATTGTACAGAGGTGAGTGAGAATGGCCCAGAGGAACAGGCCTGACTAAAGAGCGGGGGATATGCTGGTGTGCTAGGCCATAGAGAGATGTCATGTGGGTGCCCCTCACCCACCTCCATGGATGGATTGCAGGGGTAGAGGGAGGGGGACTTCTCTGGAGTAGCTTCTCAGATGATCATACATTTACCCTTTCTGGGGATCTGTCTTCATCCAGTGCCTGTGTGCAGAGAGGGTGAAGGAAGGAGAAGGGGAGGAATGCAAATCCCTGGATTTCTACGTCTGATCTAAGGCACTGGTGGGCAGGCTACCCTCCCCTTGAGGTCCCTCCCCCTCCCTTTTTTGTGAGAGCTGCATTGTTTTCTAGGTGAGATCTTGCTTTGGGAAGTATTGATTGATCCCTCTTTCACACAGTACATTACAGCGAAGTTCTGGAAAATTCAGCTTGTGTCTAGGAGTCAAAGGGGCTATGGAGTAGGCCCAGTTGCATGTGCAAACAGCAAAGGGTTTTTGCTGAGTTTAGCTCATACAGTGAGCTCTGCACTCTTGTTAGAAAGGCTGTTCTAACTACTGGTGAGTGAAGCATAGCTGTAGCATTGAGTTGTGCTCTGAGCACCAGAAGGCCTGTCAAAAGGCAAATACACTTCTGCTGTGCAAAAACTCTCTTCTCTTCCTCGTACCTAGTGCAAGACCTCTCTTGAGCATACTCCCCTATTCTGATGCCTCTTTCTTTCCACCCAACAGATCTTCCTGAAACACATAGATGATCATATCATTTTCTCGCATAAAACCTTCTAAAGACTTCATTAAAACTCAGGATCAAGTCAAGTTACTTGAAATCTGCCTTCTCTAAATTTATCTTTCAGTTCTGAAAGAACCCAGAACCTGGTCTATCCATCAAATTATGTTAAGTGGAATAAATCAGGCTCAGAGAGATAAAGAACATGTGTTTCCTTTCATATACGGCAGTGAGATCTAATTTATAAATATATACATAAACATGTGCAGAGTCATATGTGTGTGTATATATATATATATATATATATATATAAATGTATCAGCTAAAGTGTGGTATATACAGGGAAGAATTCCAAGGTGTCATACTTTTGGACAAGTCTGTCATAATGAGTACCAGGAAGCTGGTAATTGAGGTGTGTGTGGAGGGGAGTCAAGGGGGAAGAGGGTAGATGAATGAGGAAAGCGGGGAGAATAGAGTTATAGCATTCAATGTATATATGTGGAAATGAAACTAAGAAAATTGTTGGAATTGGGAAGGATGATGAAAGGGGTAACATGGATCAAGATGTATTATATTCATACATGGACATGTTGAATTGTAGCCCCTTTGCACAACTACTTAAAAATAATACGAATATAATTTTTCAAAACAACCCCCAAGAACCTCTTCTACTTCTGTTGGAATGGACAGCTGAAAATAATAGAGACCAGGACCATCGTTCTAAAGAGAGCTGTCTGCTCAGGTATGGCCATCTTCCTGGGGCTTCTAATGAGGACTCGCAGGACCAATCCTCCTGTCCCCACCAATGATCCTGGGAAGAAGGGAGAGTTGTAGCGCTGTGGACTCACCTTGACAATCTGCAAACATCAGAGTGTTCTGCCCATGTTAGTGGGTAGGGCAGTGCCCCAGGCCAGGTCACCCAGCATGAAGGCAGGCTGTCAGGGCGGAACAGTTAGGGGTGGAAGGTGCTGAGCCACTGCATTCCCATCTGAAAGTCCTCAGAGGGGTTCTCAGACAAGGGCAGACTCGTGGTAGCCTCAAGCACTTGGACACCTGCCGCTCTGAGGACAAAGAGGTCCAATGCTGGGCAGAGAGGACTACAACAATGGCTGGGTGGAGAGTGACATTCCCTGCAACTCTCAGCTATCTTCCTTTTATTGGAAGTGCTGGTCCTCATCAGAATTCCAGGCTTGTCCTGAACTGCTGAGTCTGAAGTTTGAAAGTGCATTTTAGTATCCTGGAAAAGAATCTAAAAGAGTAGGGTTGAAGATAGTAATTGAGAGAAAAAAAATCAGCTGGTGTTTGTACCCCACGATTAAACTTAGAAGTGGACCACCCTGCTCCACCCCTTGCAGGACCACCTACATCTTCTACCTACTCCAGCAAGGGCGAGGCTTCAGATAGGAACCAGCTCCACTGTGTTCCTCCAACCAAGGTATTTGATGCGCTATGGATGCCATCTTTCTTCCCTTCCATGTCAACAGTACCAGTTATTGTCTAGATCCTATTTGCCAGGAAGCGTTCTAGAGTCTTTGTATGTATTAATTCCTGCAATACTCCCTCCTCCTCCTCCTCCTCCTCCCCCTCCTTCTCCTTTTTCTCCATGTGTCAGTACTAGGGCTTGAACTCAGGACTTTGCTACTCCTGAGGATGAACCCCTAAATCCCACTATTTGGAAATAAAATTAGAATATGTGACCATGATTATAAGTATTTATTTTTTCATTCAAGGCTGGCGCTGTACCAGTTGAGCCACATCTCCACTTCCTGCTTTTCATTGGTTAATTGGACATAGGCGTCTCATGGACTTGTCTGCATGGGCAGGCTTTGAATTGTGATCCTCAGATCTCAACCTCTTGAGTAGTCAGAAGTATAGGCATGAGCCACTTACACCTGCTTTATGCTATTTCCTTAAACAACTCTTTTTTAAAAAAATATTTTATTTATTTATTGGGTCCGGTAGTGGGGCCTGAACTCTGGGCCTGGGCGCTGTTCCTCAGCTCTTCAGCTCAAGGCTAGCACTCTACCACTTGAGCCATAGCGCCACTTCCGGCTTTTTTCTTTTTGCTTATGTGGTGCTGGGAAATCGAACCCAGGGCCTCAGGCATGCAAGGCAAGCGCTCTACCACTGAGCCACCTTCCCAGCCCCACTTAAACAACTCTTTAAGGCATATATTATTGTTCTTCTATTTCCATAAGAGGGAATCAAGGCATATGTAACAAGTAGCTTGACAAGTGCTTTTCCTAGCAAATGGCAGTGACATGACCAGTGGCAGAAACTGTCCTGCTGTCCCCAGCATCCACATGGACAATCCCCCCCCCCCCACAAGCCTTGGACTGGAGAAGGGAGGGCAGATTAGAGGTGAGGGACTGTCAAGGTACACAGCAGATGGTCCTGTTCAAGTGGTAAGGGTAAGGTGGCCATGCTTGCTGAACCTCACATTGCAGGGTTGTGACCCCTTCAGTTGCATCATTTAGAAAGAAAATTAGTATCTGTGAGCATGATTGTAAGTATTTCTGAGTGGATTTGTGTGTTAGAATGGTACAAATACAAAAATGTATTTTGGGATTGTTTACCTGTTTTTGGCTGTTTAAAAGTAAATGATAAGAGCCAGGAACCAATGGCTCACATCTAATTCTAGCTACTCAGGAGCCCGAGATCACAGTTTGAAGCCAGTCCAGGCAGGAAATCTGTGAGTCTTATCTCCAATTAACCACCAAAAAGCTGGAAATGGAGCTGTGGGTCAAGTGATAGAGCACCAACTTTGATTGAAAAAACTAAGGGACAATGCCCAGGCCCTGAGTTCAAGCCCCAGTACCAGCACAAAACAAAAGTAAATGGTAGGGAAAAAGTACAATCCAAGGAATTGTTGCACATCAGAATAATGTTCTTTCACTCTGGGAGAGATTGGGATACTTGTGGCTCCCCTAGAGCCTAGGTCTGGCAGCCTGCATGCTGACCTACCGAGGCACTTTGGCTGACTGCACACTGGTTATAAAAAGAAATCAAAATGGAATACCATAGCAGGGAGTAAAGTGTACATACTTCAACTTGCCAGATTTCTGTCCACCCCATGGGATTATCTCACTGGACCATTCACTTGCTCACAGAGAGATGGGAAGGGGAGGGAGAGAAGTATGGGGCTATGGAGCCAGACCGTCTGGGTTTCAAGTCTAACTCCAGACTTTCAGCTTTGGAACTTTGGGTGAGTTCGTTAATGGTGTTTTGTTTCCTCTATTGTAAAATGGGGCTAGAAATAGCATCTGCTTCTTAGGGTTGTCAGCAGGTTAAGGTAAATTAATACCTGCAAAGAACTTAGAACAATAAGCATGCAATAACCCATAACTTAATGTTTGCTACCATTCTTTGCTGTCTGAGTCCTATACTATGGTTAAAGAGGAAAAATCATTTACAAAAACCATTAAGAGTTAGTTACAGCAGCAGCAGCACCTCCTATTCACAAGGGAATTTTGATTTTTTTGTCAGTCCTGGGGCTTGAACTCTGGGCCTGGCCACTGTCCTTCAGCTCTTCAGCCCAAGGCAAGTGTTCTACCACTTGAGCCACAATGTCACTTCTGGTTTTCTGAGTGGTTTATTGGAGATAAGAGTCTCACGGACTTTCCTGCCTGGGCTGGCTTTGAACCAAGATCCTCAGCCTCCTGAGTAGCTAGGATTACAGGTGTGAGCCACCTGCGTCAGCTAGGGCTTTTTTTTTTGTTTTTCCTCTAAGACCCTCATGGATGTCTGAAACCTTGCACAATATTGTAGTCTACTTACTACTATAGACTCCTTATCCACTGATTCATTCTGCTGTTTCATCTACCTCTGCTCACTCTTGTCTGAGCAAATCACATGGATAACAATTCATAAGTGTGTGTGTGTGTGTGTGTGTGTGTGTGTGTGTGCTTATCATTTGAGCCATTTCTGGCTTTCAGTAGTTAATTGGAGATAAAAAAAAATCTCTCAACTTTATGTGTCCTGGCTAGCTTTCAACCTCAATCCTCAGATCAGTCTCCTGAGTAGCTAGAAGGTATAGATGTGGACTACCAGCACAAGACTCATAAGTTTAAAATAATTTGGGCTAAGGAGGGTAAAAGAGGATGGGTAAGACTGAAACAGGTTGTTGGGAATTATGCAAACAGAATAATGAAACCTGCTAACATTGCAGGAGGATAGGGGAGAATGACAGGAACCCATTGTATAGTACACATGTGAGAAAGCATCACAACCAGCCTACCTCCTGCCCTTTGATAGCTAATATATGCAGATAAAATATTTATTTTTTTGGGTCCGGTCGTGGGGCCTGAACTCTGAGCCTGGGCGCTGTCCCTCAGCTCTTCAGCTCAAGGCTAGCACTTTACCACTGAGCCACCTTCCCAGCCCGCAGATAAAATATTTTTAAATCATGTGCTATTCTGAATATGATGAAGAAATTTCTTGCCATACATGCCATTCCACCTAAGGCACAAATCATCCATTTTTCTGGCATATTCATGCTGCGCACACTTCCTTCCTTGTTCTATAGCCATCTCCTTGTCGGATGAGCAGTGGCGCTACCTCAGTGCTATGTTCAAGTAGTTTCTAACTTTCTGCACAATGACCCCAAAAGTGTGAGTATACTGGTGTTGGTCATTCACTTGTGGTAAACAAAAGCTGGACAGTGCTTCATTTAAGTCAGAAGATGAAAGTAAGCTCGAACCCATGGCTCATACCTGTAATTCTACTTAGAGGGCTGAGATCCAGAGGATTGAGGCTTCAAGCCAGTCCAGTCAGAAAAATCCAGGCAACTTCATCTCCAAAATAACCAGCAAAAAGCCAGTAGAGAACAAGTGGTAGAGAGCAAGAAGAGCAAGTATGAGGTCCTGGGTTCAAGTCCTAGTGCTGCCAAAAAGAGAAATAAAAAAGGCGAAAGTACATAAAATATTTTGTGAGGGAGACCACATTCACAGAACTTTTACCTATTATTCTAATTATTCTTTTTTGCTTTCCTTTCATGCATTTTTTATTGTTATTATAAAGGTATGTACAGAGGGGTTACAGTTACATAAATCAGATAAAGAGTACATTTCTTTCTTTCTTTTTTTTTTTTGTCGGTCATGGGGCTTGAACTCTAGGTCTGGGCGCTGTCCCTCAGCTCTTCAGCTCAAGGCTAGCGCTCTACCACTTGAGCCACAGCACCACTTCTGGTTTTCTGAGTGGTTTATTGGAGATAAGAGTCTCATGACTTCTCTGCCCAGGCTGGCTTTGAACTGCGATCTTCAGATCTCAGGCTTCTGAGTAGCTAGGATTATAGGTGTGAGCCACTGGTACCTGGTGTACATTTCTTTTTGAACCATGTCACCTTTTCTCTCACTCTCTCCCAGTTTTTCCCTTCCATCCCCACGCATAAGTTGTATAGTTCATTTTCAATGTAGTGTCCAGTGAGTACCACTGCTGCATTTGTTCACCCTTTCTCCCTCCATTTCTATGCCCCATACCCTCCCAAAGACAGATAAACTAACAAGACAAAAATAAAATAAAATAACAAAACAAACAAACCCAACACCTCTTGTTTTCATTTCCTGGAGTTCATTTCAATAAATATTATTTTATATGATCAGATGCACATAGGCACTGTGCCTTTGTGTTTCTCTCCAAAGAATATTCTCCTTTGGTCTCACCATGTGTGAATGCAAAGAGTCCTGTATAATTTGTCATGTCCCAGTGTGCTTACTTGTAGATTTATAGGCACATTCTAGCTATCACAAATGGAGGAAGTGGTGCAACCTATGTTTCTTTGGGCCTTTATTCCAATTGTTCTACTTTATTATTGCTTTGTCCTATTTATCTATATACGGGATTCAGTATTCTGAATGTTTTGGATATCTGACTACTAGCCTTCTTGGAACCCTAGAGGCTAGGGAATACCCTCTTTTAAATTTAGACACTTACACTTGATGCCCCACTAGAAAATATGAGACTAATATTATTTTACTCCTTCCAACTTCTTTCTCCTCTCTTGTTTTTTTTTTTCTGGTCACTGCCATTTCTTTGTAAGGTTTATGGCAGTTGTAATCCATTCTGTTTTGTAACTTCCCTTGCTTTTAACCTTGGTTTTATATTTAAATGGATTGGAAGCTCACTACCAGGATTTCTCCCCCAGTATTTCTGTCTCTGAGTTTTCAATCTGTTGTTTATTTTTAAGTTGTTTGTTAAATGTGAGGAAAAATTTTGCTACACAATTTGTTTTTGTTGGATTTTATCTTCCCTTTTGTCTCCTGATGTTATTTTGTCCCTTTGTCTTCTTGTTTTATGTCTAACTACTATATGGATGCCTAAAGAATATCTTTTCGAACTAAGATTCATATATTTAAGAAGGGTGAATATATGCATGCTACATACCTAAGTTCTCACATATCTGAAAATGTCTACCTAGGCATTTATACTCGAGTGGCATTTGGATGGGATGTGATACTCTGAAATCACAAGTTCTTTCCTTCAGAGCTTTATTGCTATTATGTTATTGTTATTTAACACTGAACATTGAAGAAATTTTTGTTTTACTTTTAGCGATGATTGGAAATGATTTTTCATCCTCTATATATCTAAAGAATTATTTTTTTTTAAAAATCCCCTCAACTTTAGTTAACTAAAGCATGGCTAAATATCTTCTTCCCTACCCATATTGTTGAAAAATAGTACATTTTTATTAAGAAATCAAATTCCTTTTTAAAAATATTTTAATATCGTTATTTACTCATACAAAAAGAAATTTAAAAAAATTTTTTGGTTGGATGTGGGGCCTGAACCACAGTGAGCTGGTCGCTGTCCCTCAGCTCTTCAGCTCAAGGCTAGGGTTCCACCACTTGAGCCACAGCACCACTTCTGGCTTTTTCTGCTTATATTTGCTGAGGAATTGAACCCAGGGCCTCGTGCATGCAAGGCAAGCACTCTACCACTGAGCCACCTTCCCAGCCCCAAAAGAAACTGAATTCTTTATGAAGTTTTATTAGCATATATATTATTTGTATGGGGGGGGGCAGGGGAGGATTCACTGTGACATTACCAGACATCTATCAGATATATTCTTATTAACCTCATCTCTATCATTCTCCTCTATCCCTTGAACCTTCTTAAAACAGTTTTAGCAGGTTTCATCATTCTATTTTCATAGATACAAATAAACCATGTTGATTAAACTCACCCCCATTTAGGCTCTTTGTTAGCCTTCCCCTATATCACTGCGGTCACTCTCATCTGAGCCTGTTTTATTTATTGTCATTCATTTTTTATATGTATTAATTACACAAAGGGATTTCCTAATGTGTTTCAGATATACATGTGTTTTACTCAGAATAACCCTCTCAATTTCTTTCTGTTTCCCTGCTTTCCAATCCTCCGTTGATCAACTTCTTTCATTGTGGTTCTTCATGCCATTTGCATACATAGGTGTACTGTATTTCAAAATTATTCACTCTCCATCTTTCTTTTTCCTTTTTCCCTTCCCATCATACTCATATGTAGCTCCACAATTAGAATCATGTTTTATGTGTATATGTTTATCATATGTATGTTGTATATATAATTATATGTATAGTTGTAGACAGAGGCTCATGAGTTGGTTGGTTGATAAAAACATAACTATTGGGGCAGGGAAGGTGGCTCAGTGGTAGAGCGCTTGCCTTGCATGCCTGAGGCCCTGAGTTCGGCTCGTCAGCACCACATAAGCAAAAAGAAAAAAGCCGGAAGTGGCGCTGTGGCTCAAGTGGTAGAGCGCTCGCCTTGAACTGAAGAGCTGAGGGACAGCATCCAGGCACAGAGTTCAGGCCCCACGACCGGACCCCCCCAAAAACAAAAACAAAACATAACTATTGTCTTATTTTAGCAGTACTGGAGTTTGAACTCAGTGTTTCACACTCCTGTGAACACATCTCTCTTTTGAATAATACTGGGTTTAACTTTAAGTCCTTGTGCTTGCTAAACAGGCACTCTACCACTTGAACTACTCCACTGGTCTGAGCTACCTACTTTATAGCTGGAGTATGTGACTGAAATGGGAAGGTTATGTGACATTATTAAGTTTAGCATTTAAGCCCTAGTCCCTGGCTTGTTTGTTTGTTTTGTGCAACCAGGACTAGCACTTGAACTCAGAACCTTGGTGTTTTTGTTCTAGGCTGATGCTCTACTACTTGGATTATACCTTCAGTTCCAACTTTTGGCTGATTTATGGGAGATAAAAGTCTCAGAGCCTTTCTTGCCTGGGCTGGCTTTGAACTGTGATCCTCAGATCTTGGCCTCCTGAGTAGCTAGGATTATAGCTGATCTACTAATGCCCAGTACAGAGTTGTTAGTTTTAAAATCTCTGCCTTCATATTGGACAAGTTTTATTATCTATGATTTCTGACTTAAAAAAAGTTAACTCATCCAATGAGATTTAATTTCAAACATCTGATTTTTTCATTCTAGAATTTCCATTGATTAATTTTATATAGTTTCTACTTCTTATTTGAGATTCATTGAAAGTATACTTTACTTTGTTGAAATGAGTTGTAATAAATTCTTAACAATTATTATCTATTAATTCCAACATTTAGATCAAATTGGAATCAGAGTTTCTCAGTCCAGGCCCAAACTCTAGGGGTTCTATATATCAGATCTGGTCACTCAATGCCAAATGAAATGAATAGCAAAAAGTAGAGAAAAGAGATTTGTTAAACTGCACAGGAAGTTAATCTCAGGAAGAGGAAAAGGCACTTCAGCCCATTTTCAGGTATAGAAAGGAACTTTAGTTTAAATAGGGAAAGAATTAGGCCAAGGGGCAAAAAGTATGCATAAACAGTAACAGTCATCTGTTCAGTCCCTATTTTAGGAAGGGTTTTGGAGAAGTTGTTAATTTGTTGCTATCAGAACTTGAGGTCAGCAGTCTGGCCAAAAATCAAATTATTGCCTAGTGGGTGGTCATTCTTTTTTTTTTTTTAACTATTTTATTAGTTTATTACTCTTGAACATTTTGTGTTTTTAGTAGACTTTACTTCTTCTTCTTCTTTTTTTTTGTCGGTTGTGGGGCTTGAACTCTGGGCCTGGGCACTGTCCCTCAGCTCTTCAGCTCAAGGCTAGCACTCTACCACTGGAGCCACAGTGCCACTTCCAGCTTTTTCTGCTTATGTGGTGCTGAGGAATCGAACCCAGGGCCTCGAGCATGCAAGGCAAGCACTCTACTGAGCCACCTTCCCAACCCCTGGGTGGTCATTCTTGAGGAGTCTCTACTGTTTTTTTTCTTGGGAGCAGTTTATTCACCTTTCTTGTAAATATGTCACCAATAAGTTCTAACCTTCTTGGATTCTAAGATGCTTGCAGAGTGATTTCAGGCAGAATATCACAGAGCAAAGAACATCAAGGCTAGCCTGCTAAGCTTTCTTCCTGCTTTTATAAACCCAAGGAAGGAGCCGGTGTTTATTAGCAAAATGAGTATAAATATCAGTTGTAATATTAGAGTTACTCTTGTTACCAGAAATTTCAGTTCTCTGAAGTTGATGCCCATTAGAATAATGAGAACAGGATTTGGGAGCAAAAGTAGTGAACGTTTACTAATTTGCTTTTAAAGTGTTCAGAACCTTAGCATCTCAAAGACAGCAGATCCTGTCCCAAGGAGGAGGGTGGGTTTTTAAGGTTTCCCAAAACTGTTGGACATTTTCAGAATCACTCATCTCCTGTTGGCGTCAATGACTGTCCGTCTCCTGTTGGCACAGACTTCTGAGGTTGCATCTTTATAACTTTGGGATTGTTTGTTTCCTGTTTATCTTCTCGTGGTGTCAATCTTCTATTGTCACCATCTTCTAGGAGGCTGTCTGCAGGCTTTTCTCCCGAGATGAGGAGCACAGTGACCCAGCAGATCAAGAGATAGCTGTAAGTATGCTATTTTTAAAAATATTTTTATATCCACAAAATTCCTTGTATAAGGGGAGATTCATTGTGACCTTCCCACATGTACATACAATGTATCTTGATTAAACTCATCTCCTCTGTCATTCTCCCTTACTACTTCTTTTCTTAAAACAATTTTAACAGGTTTCATTGTCCTATATTCATACAAATGAACTGCTTCAACAAAAATTGTCCTCAAGATTGTTCATTACCCAATAGAAAGGAATGGGGAAGGGGAAGGGAGTAACTGGAATAAAGGAAAAGACTAGATCTGAGCAATGGGCAATGCAGGCTAGCTAGTGAAGTGTTACATACCAAAATTGTAACTATAAGCAGCAGTGTCTGTTGATTGTGGTTTGTCTGAACCTTGCATGATGTTTTGTTCTTTGTAGGCTGAATTATTTGGTATTATATCATAGGTACTGTGAACTTATGCTGTAGAGATGTATCATCTTATTATTTTCCTCTGTTGGATGTTGAAGCTTGGTTTTAGCAAGCAATTAAATTAGTCGGATCCAACTGCAACACTTTGCCCTTGAGCAGCAGCTTAGCTCTCAGTTCATTTTCCTTATTTCTAGCTAGTTTTGAGTAAGCATTGTGTATGTACAAGGCTTGGAATCTGACCCACCCTTCATCCAAGTCTTTCTTATTGAAGCTTGGGATCTGACCCAGCTTTGTGATCTGAGTCTCTTTTACTCTAGTACCTTCCACCCCTTCTCTCCAGCACCTTCTATTAGAGTTTGAGTCATCCCCCAGGGTGCCAATCTCAGTCTAGACTCATGTTAAAAATTACAAAGATAGCTAAGTCATCCCTTACCATCCCATGCTCCTAAGATCTGATTCTCCTCCAGATTCTACCTGCTTCCACTTATTCTCTAGTGATGTCATTTTTTAAATTTTTAAAATCTTTGGCTGAAGTTTATATATGGTATCTATAGGAGGTCAAAGCCTGGTGGAAGCATATTGAAAGTGAGATACTAGCTGGGTGGTGGTGGTGGCTCATACCTTTAATCCTAGCTACTCAGGAGGCTGAGATCTGAAGGTCATGGTTCAAAGCCAGCCCCAGAAGGAAAGTCCATGAGACTCTTATTTCCAATTAACCACCAGAAAACTGGAAGTGGCTCTGTGGCTCAAGTGGTAGAGTGCTCGCCTTGAGCTGAAGAGCTCAGGGACTATGCCCAGGCCCAGACTTTAAGCCCCATGAGTGATCCCCCAAAAAAAGAAAGAAAAAAGGAAAGAAAGAAGGAAAGAAAGAGAGAAAGAAAGAATGAAAGAAAGAAAGAATAAAAGTGAAATTGGCTGGTAACTTTTAAAATATATTGCTTCTGTTCTTGCTGTTCATTGTAGTAAATGCTGAGAAAGGGAGATTCTGTGATCTGGAATTATGTTCTTGTCCACATATTTTATTCTTCCTGCAGCTCATCTTTGCATGTATAAAATGAAGATAATAGTCCCTTCCTGGTTTGGTGGTCATCAGAATTCACTGCACAACCTTTTAGGACAGAAACTGGCATGTAATAAGATTATGACTAGGTTCTGTGGTATTAGTATTGCACTCCTAACATAGTGCTTGGGATGTGAGAGATGAATAATGACAGTTGAATATGTGACATGGATACATGAAAACAGAGGAGGAAAAGAATGGATACAAGAAATGGTGGTATTAGCTGCTGGGGACTAAGGCCATGAGCTAGGATGGCATCACCTCACTGGATATGGGCATACAGCAGACATACAAAACCACAGTCAGGTAGCTCTTCCCTTCAGACTTGTTTCTGTTACACAAGGTGTTCTTCTAATCTACATGGTGATTCATTCCACAAGCTGCAGCAGGAGGCCTGTCCTGCAGAACCTGTGCGGAAGAGTCTTCGGTCCTGTTGTGTGCACTTTCTAGGAGGCACAAGGGAACTTATGGAGCCCAAGGGGGGACTTCCTTATTTCCTGAACATTGGAGAAGTGCCTGAAAACTCGAAGGTTTTTGTCTTTCTAAGGTCTTTCTAAAGAGGTTTGGGTGTGAAGGAGGCCTTATTCTCCAGACATGACAAGCTTATAAAGTGTTTTGGTTCTACAGGGGTTGAAGTGCAAACACACCAGGCAAGTTACACACTCCAAAACTATACTGGTATCTCCTGGGATGAAGGGTTCAGTGTGTGGGAACTAACTTTATGCTTCTACTCATGCCATCTGTCAGGCTGCTCTATGGAAGTAAGGGCCTTGGGCCTAGCGATTGTCTTCCCTTAAAGAATAAAGAAGAGCCGGGTGCCGGTGGCTCACGCCTGTAATCCTAGCTTCTCAGGAGGCTGAGGTCTGAGGATTGCGATTCAAAGCCAGCCCAGGCAGGAAAGTCTGTGAAACTCTTATCTCCAATAAACCACCAGAAAGCCGGAAGTGGCCCTGTAGCTCAAGTGGTAGAGTACTAGCTTTAAGCTGAAGAGCTGAGGGATAGTGCTCAGGCTCAGAGCTCAAAGCCCACAACCAACAAACAAAACAAAACAAAACAAAAGAATAAAGAAGAAGGCTTTAAAAGTGTATTATTGGTTGTTGACCATAGTGCCTCAAGTACTGGGGAAGCTGAGTCAGGAAGACCAAAAGTTCAAGGCAAGTCTGTGCTATGACCTTATCTCAAAAACAAATGAACAAACAAAACAAAAATGATTTTGCTCTTTTTGTTTCTTCTTGTCGTGCAGAGGATCAAACCTAGAGTCTTGCACATGCTAGGCAAGCAGTCCACCCTGAGGTACTGGCTCTTAAAACATGTTTTTAATTAAGCTACCTACTCAAAATTGCTTAAGATGGTAAATTATATATATATATATATATGTATATATACATACATACATACATATATACATATATTACAATTACCTTAAGCAAAGAAATTAATAGTATCTACACATTATAAACAGTTTGAAAAATTAAGAAAGATGTTAAAAAGGAACAGAGTTTCTTTTTAGGAATAGATTTGTCTTCCTAAGGTCGATATTTTTACTTGAGATTATACTATCTAGAATGTGTGTTTTTTTAAAAAAAAAGATTAAACACTATAATCTGAGTATATTTATTATTTGAAAATATTTGGATAGATTCAATGCAGTTGGTTTTATGGACTTACAAATTATGTTTAATTGGCTCAGTATTTAGGCAGTTTTGTATGTATGTATATATACATATACCAATCTATATACACGTATGGGTATGTATTGCTGACTATATATATAATTTTTTGCTGACACTTCAATAAACATCTTCAAATATAAGTCTATGTCAAAGAGGTTTTCTAAAAATGGAATATTTTTCTTCTCTTCTTTTGTCCTGCTTCTGGTCTACAGGTTCTTAAACAGTTATCTGAGGCCTGGCTTCTAAGAGGAGAACTTTTCTGAACACTTCAGCTTGCAAGAATCCTTTGCTTTCGTGAGTGGTTGCAGTTATTCAAGTCCCCATAAATGCAGTGTTCAGGTGAGGTCTATTGAATACCAAACCACCTGCATAGGAAAAAACAAGACAGGAACCAAATTCCAATCTCCTTACCCTGCACCTGCTGAAAAGCCACCATAGCACCCAGTTATGGTTTTCTTTTCTTTTCTCTTCCTTCCTTCCTTCCTTCCTTGCTTGCTTCCTTCCTTCCCTCCTTCTCCCCATTCTCCTCCTCCTTTTCTTTCCTCCTCCTCTTTCCCCTCCTCCTTTTCCTCCTCTTCTTCTTTTTCTTCTTCCTCCTCCTCCTCCCCCTCTTCCCCTTCCTCCCCTCCCCTCCTCTTCCTCCTTGTCTCCTTCTTCCTCTTCCTCTTCTTCTTCTTCTTCTTCTTCTTCTTCTTCTTCTTCTTCTTCTTCTTCTTCTTCTTCTTCTTCTTCTTCTTCCTCTTCTTCCTCTTCTTCC